GAACAATAAATCTGTTGTCTACAGTGTGGTCTCGTACCTCAACAGTTCGACTATCATCTCGCCGCTTGTAAAGTGCATACCCATTGACATTATCATTTGTTGCTTCATTAAAGTCTTTTGGAAAGTTTTTTTTGCACTTTCCCTTCTCCATGCAAACAGAATGAGGATTAAGTACACCACATCGACCATGAGTCATGTAATTCCCAACTTTTTCATAAAGTTTAGGATGAGTATTTTTGTCTGGAATTTCAGCAGAAACAAATTTGTCAATATCAGCCACACTTCTGATTTTATCATGGTCATCAAGAGTTAATAACAAGTGGGCATGTGGCAGACCACGTTTTTGAAATTCGATTGTGTATATCAAAGCAGCAATTTTACCAAACACTTGTTTTTTTACTATGCAGGCCAGAAGTTCTTTCAACTTACAATGAAATACACGCACAACAATATCTGGTCGATAATGAGAGGATTCCCGTGGCGCTAAGTTTTCACTGATCTCTGGCCAACGTGGATTGCATGTCATTGTTAAGAATAGAGAAGGTTTGCCAAACCTTTGAACAATGTACATTGCATCTAAATAGTTTTGATGCATATTACGGGGAGAACCAATGACAGAAGAGGGAAGAATGACTTGACGTATGTATCCATGTCTCTTGAATTATCTTCCATCAAATCAAGTAAACTCCTACAAATCTCGAGAAGTTGAAATCTAAGAGGTTGAACGGCTCTGACTCTGCTTTCCCATCGAGTTTTACTCACTGACTTTAAAGAGAGATTTTGCAAATTTCGCTTTAAAATATTCCACCTGTAGGGTGAAGCAGAAAAAAAATTGAACAGCTCCTGAATAATTGAAATAAAACCTACAGTCTCGTCTGAGATTTTAGCTGCATCATTAACTGTCAAATTTAATGTATGAGCACAACAAGGCAAAAAAATAGCTCTCGGGTTAACTTTTTTAAATTGAGCTTGAATGCCCACATGATTCCCAGACATATTTGCGCCATTGTCATAACCCTGGCCTCTCATATTAAGAAAATCAATTTCAAAAGTTGGTAGTATCTCATCTCTCAACAGATTGAAAAGCCCTTCTCCTGTACTATCCAAAACTTTAAAAAAACCCAGAAAGTGTTCTCTTATTTCAACCTCATTTGAAGAAAAATGAACAAAGCTAATTATGAAAGTCAACTGCTCAACATGACTAGCATCTGGAGTTTCATCCAAAATTATTGAATAATATTTTGCTTTCTTGAGGCAGTTCAAAATTTCTGTGCGAATATTTTTTGATAATAGATGGATT